TGTAGACGAGTAGAGAGGGGAACCGAAAAGGGTTCTGCCTCTACTCCTTTTCGAGTGTGTTTGTCTTCGCGCCTCAGCCCGTGTTTTCCTGGCGTGCGTGGTTCGTCCAGGTGAAGGCCAGCTTCCCCGAGGAGTACCGCGCGCGTGAGCAGGACAAGCTGCGCTACCGCTACCCTCGGGGCGAGAGCTACCTGGACATCATCGCCCGCCTGGAACCCGTCATCTTCGAGATGGAGCGGCAGAAGGCCCCGCTTCTCATCATCGCGCACCAGGTATCTACGATGTTTCTTGTATTTTCTTCTTTTTTTTTCTTGCGAAAACGGCGAGTCCGTGTCAATCGTACGTGTGCGCGGCACTGTTTTTTCCGCTGTAAATGGACACGTGTGTATCAAAAAGTCGTGAACCGATGCTGCTGCTGTCGGATGGCGTGGGTAGGGTAGAGGCCGTACCTCTCGCAAGAGAGAAGGTGCCGCTTTACCCGCTACGGCGGGGGGGGGGGGTCGTTGTTCCATATTTTGAGACAATTAAGCTCTTGAGTCTTGGAAGCGCGGAACGGCGTGTGTCGTACTGCGCATGCATGCCTTTAGTTCATTTCCCGGTCTCTGTTCTCGTGTCATCCCCGTGCCGGTCCGACATCGGTCGACGAAACCCACTCAACAGCAAAAGAGGTGATGGTAACTTATGTAGCGGACACGGCCCCACTCCTCCTGACAGAGCACCAGGGGTCTTCGCGCGTTTTTGAATGCGAAGACAGGGACCAGACCTCTATCTGTCTCTTGGCGATCTAAACCCCAGCTCACGTACGGTACTGCTTTCTTCGGCCAACCCTCGCAGAAGCTTGTCCGCCTCCAGGTGTTAAACATGAGTGGAATTGATAGGTAGTGCCCCCCGTCGAGGCGATCCGGTTCCCATTCGGCGAGGACAGTTTATGGTTTGCTGAGCGGGTATACACCGCTGACAAGCAAGCGCAACCAACCTACGGCTGTAGGCTGTTCAAGGCCCGCGGATTCGGGCAATGCTACTGCCCCGTCCTGCACCGCGGGCTCATTAAGTCATGACGATGGACGCACCGTCTACGAGACGTTTCGACAGTCTCCTAAGTATGCTGTGTGTGTGTTGGTTGTGTGACGTCGCCCTCGCTCTTGTTGTTGAAGTGTGTGCGGAGCCTCGGTTGTGCTTTGTGGCGCCATGTGTTGCATCCGTTCTCGCTTTGATTCACGCGTCCGTCTGTGCATGCGTCTGTTTCTTCTTCTCTCTCTCTCTCTCTCTCTCTCTCTCTCTCTCTCTCTCTCTCCCTCTGTCCTTGTCCCTGTTTCTCTCATTCTCTATCGCTCTCTCTCTCTCTCTCTCTCTCCCTCTCTCTCCTGCTCCCTCTCCCCCCCTCCCGTTTATCGGTCCCCTTCTCTCACCCTTTCTCTCCTGAAAAAACAAAACAAAAAACGAACCACACAACCAAGGCCGTCCTGCGGTGCCTGTACGCCTACTTCTTGGACCTCCCGTCGGAGGAGATCCCCTACCTCAGCATCCCGCTCCACACGGTCATCAAGCTCACGCCGCAGGCCTTCGGGTGCAACGAGAAGCGCTTCAAGCTTCTGGACGACGATACCCACCCCTCCGCGTGAAAAGAGAAGTTTGTGTGCGCCCCCCCCCCCACCCCCCCACCCCCCCACCCCCAATCCCCTTCCGTGTGTTAGGGGCTAGGCATGGGTGGGTTTTGGGCTGGGTTGTCGTCCGCGCGAGCTGGGTTGGTGGGCGGCGGTTGTTCGTGGGATGGGTGTCACGCCGGGGGTGCGGTGGGTAACACGGCAAGACGCCTGCTACTGATCTCTTGTTTTTTCCCCCCGACTTGCCTGCCACCAAGGTAGTCCGTGCGCACACCCGTGTATGTAGCACTCTTATGATCTGGTCCATACATCAGAGCGGAGATCTTGGGATTTGCAGGCACACACGGGGTCCACAGTGTATGATGCACGACGAGGATTGCGACACGCTCTCTCTCTCGTTTAAAACCCTAGTTTCGGCGCATTATTGGAATTTTGGCGTCCTATGCTTTGCCCCGGCGTGTGGTATGTTGGACCGATGGTATCATCGGCGGGAAAATAACGGTGTACATATCCCGGCTGGGGAGCGCGCGATGGTAAGTTGCGATCACAATATACGGCGGGCGACGGTATGGGGTGGATGATCGGAGAACCACGTTGGGTTTTTGTCCACGGAATCACGCCCCTTGTCCCGCCTCACCTGATAGAGGGTGGAGGTGAGCGCCGTTTAAGGCGTCTGATCTTCCAGAACGACCAAAACTACATAGTTAATGCATAGCAACCAAGGGTCATGGCGTAGAGCCCTAGACGACGTCCTCGCTGTTCCTGAGACCGTATTTGCTTGCTACTGGTGTTGGGGGCCCTATTGCCATGAAACGTTGCGGTTGTTGGCCATGTACTTAGAATTAAAATTGTGGAAGGCGGTATCCTTCTAGTAGCTCTTGTGTCGAGCAGAGCACGGAGGGAGGTGGATTTTCTTGCAACGGACACCGGGTGTCGATGGGAAATGGCTATGCATGCCATAGCATATCGTGTGACGGCACGTAGGGTCTGAGCGCGAGGTTGATGGTCATCGCGTCACGTGGCACTTGCTTAGCTTTTTAAACCTTGGGAAGTCCGTCTTGGTGTTGTTGTACGACGTTTGTTTGGGTGGGACTCGTGTGTTGGAAGTCGAAGTCGTGTGATAGTACACTGCATCGTCGTGTCCTGCCAGGTAGAGATGGACCCTTCCTTGCCGTGTCGCTTCTCCTTCACGTTCGCATGATGCTATTTTGTAAGGCAAACGGTGAAGTGGGACCACAAGCAGTGTGCCGTAGTCCCCTTCCAACCCCCCGGGGGGGGGGGAGTTGACGCTGGCCTCTTGGGTGACATCGATTACATTGTTGTAGCCGCGCTATTTGGCGTTGCTGTGTCCATTGCCCGCCTCTCCCCCTGTGTGTATTCATCTCCCTCCCTCCCTCTGCCTCCCTCTCCCTTTCTCTCCATCACTCACTCTCTCTCTCTCTCTCTC